CCTGCCAAACAACAATGACAACTACAACCAAAAAATAGCTGGGCATTCTGGTGGGCACCTGTAGTCCCAGCTACTCGGGAGGCTGAGGCAAGCGAATCAATAGCTCAAGCCCAAGAGTTTGAGATTGCTGTGAGCTGTGATGCCATAGCACTCTACCTAGGGCGACAAGCTTGAGACTATCTCAAAACAAACAAACCAAAAAAACCATGTAACTGAATTATAAGATTTGGAAAGTCTCTTTCTGATCAAAATGTTATGAAACAAGCAATAAAAGGGAAAGCACAGTAATAACAAACTTTGATGGAAGATACAAAGCACATGCGTATGTAATATAACAGCAAATAAGTAAGAAACACTTTTTCCCCAAAGAACCACAGTTTTCTTTTTCTCTCCTGCCATAATACACCGTAAAGAACTCAAGTAACATTCCCAAAGGCAAGATGGTGAGATCTCTGCTTCACTGGCCAGAAAACCCCAATCGTCAGTGATTTCACCATAAGTTAAAAAATAACTTGGGAAGTGTGCCCAGCAGGAAACTTATTTTTGGAAAGTAAGGAATTCCTAGAAGCTTCTGGTTTCCACCTGAATTTTTTTTCAGTGAGTTCAACACTTGTGAATGAGTAGCCCCTTCTAAGTCTTCAGGAGGATACTTCTGCAGTAATTGCCTTATGTACACATAAATGCTACTGTATTACATCTGTACCATCAGATCAATGTTGCTAATATAAATTTTCTTGGCTTTGGAAGCTTCCTACTATACTTTTAGACATATAGGCCCTGAGTTACAAACATCTGATTTACATACAACTCACATTTATAAGCAGAGGCTATTACAGTAAATCCCGAGTTACAAACATTTGAAAGATATGCACTCATGAATGGAGGTTATTAAAAGTAAAAGGTAAATGTACTTGTTCCAACTTACATACAAGTTCAACTTAAGAACAAACCTACAGAACTTGTCTCCTTTGTAATCCCAGAGACTGACTACCTGTAGTTATTATATAATTTTAGTTTTTTCTTTTTTTTTTGAGACGGAGCCTCAAGCTGTCCCCCTGGGTAGAGTGCCATGGCATCACAGCTCATAGCAACCTCCAACTCTTGGGCTCAAGCGAGTCTCCTGCCTCAGCCTCCCAAGTAGCTGGGACTACAGGCGCCTGTCACAATGCCCGGCCATTTTTTTTTGGTTGCAGCCACCATTTGTTGTTTGGCGGGCTGGGCTGGGGATTCGAACCTGCTACCTTAGGTGTATGTGGCTGGCCGCTTAGCCACTTGAGCCACAGGCACTGAGCCTAATTTTAGTTTTCTCATTCTGTTTGTCTTCCGAGTTGGGGGGAGTTCAGAAATTGGTAAAAAGCAACCCTACTAACAATTTAAAAATTATTCTAAATGTAGAGGATTAGATGCTTTTTTCCCCAGAATAAAAATATATTTATATTTGGAGAATGGTACTCACTAAAAACATCAATAAACATTATAGCAAAGCTTCTTAAATTCCCTACATTTAGCTCAAGGGAAAAAAAAAACTATAAAAATAGAAACTGCCAAAACCATCTTCCATCAATTGGAATACAGCTGCTCACCCTGCAGGCCTCTGTTGAGACATCACTTCACCCCAGAAGATCCTCTCTCACATTTCCTTTCCCCTCTCAGAGCCTGTTTCATGCTTTCCGAAAAACTGTCACAAGGCCCAGTTTCTGTCCATTACACTCTGCATTTTTAACTATATTTGCCAGTTGGCTTCTGCCTGTTCAGCTGGGCCCCCTGGCAGAACCTATGTAGACCAAGGACCACAATGGTCTTGCTCTTTAGCGCATGCAAGTCAGGGCCAGTACACAGCAGTTGCTCAAAATTTGTTGCATAAATGAAATCTAGATAAATCGTTTTGTTTGTTTTTATTTTTATGTTGCCCTCAGCGGGGTGTCACAGCTCACAGCAACAACCTCTAACTCTTGGGCTAAGTAATTCTCTTGCCTCAGCCTCCCAAGTAGCTGGGACTATGGGCGCCAACCACAATGCCCAACTCTTTCTTGTTATAGTTGTCATTATTGTTTAGCAGGCTGGGGCCAGGTTTGAACCCGCCAGTCCTAGTGTATGAGGCTGGCACTCTGCTAGCTACAGGCATTGAACCTAGATAAATCTTTAAATACTGTTGACTTGCAGTACTGGAATTAACACTTCGGATTAAATACTTTGGTTAATAAAAAAACCTATTTCTGTGCTTTAAAGATAAAAGCAATGGTACCATTTTCCTAC